CGTCGTGTGTGTGTGTGTGTGTGTGTGTGTGTGTGTGTGTGTGTGTGTGTGTGTGTGTGTGTGTACGCGCGCGCGTATGTATGCATGCGCATTGTCCGTGTGAATGCGCATTCGCGTGTCCGCGTGTAAACGTAAAATCGGCGACCAACACACAGAAACCCACGAACATCTGCGTGTGAATGACGTCAGAGCGGGGTGCTGCGAATCTAGGCCGAGGGTTGAACGACTGTTGGAGCAGACTCGGCCGAATCTGGGGCACTGCATCCCCTTCGCTAAATGCAGCCGAAAGCGACGCTATGCAAGCGAATCGGAGCCGATCGCGCTAGAATTCGCGCAATATTCTTGTACGGGTACGCGGTCGATTCCCAATTTCGCCCAATCGGAGGGTGCGCGTTACCTTATGCACTTGCTATGCTTAGCTCCTTGAAACCCGATCTGATTGGAAAAAGATACGATCGGAGAAAAGAGAGCGTGAGGTGAAACAGGGAAGGGAACAATTCATTGAGAAGTTGCTCACGATGCAATCTTCTGAATATTTCATATAAATACAGACGATAAATACAGACAAATGTTTTAAGATAGAAAGACAAGTTCACGATGCGATCACGTGAAATCTCGAAGATTCTTCGTACGCGTTTATAAGGAGCGATCAGAGGATGATTTATTTTATTTGACTCGACGAGAGAGCTGAGTCTTTAAACCGAATATATATAGTCATGTATGTTATTGAATGATTAAATGATGAAATAAAATTCGCTTACTTGCGACAAATGAGCCGCATTTCATGAATAACGTTCGGGTTATGTTTATTTAGAACTTTGTGCACATTAGCGATTAAATAAGTTTCGTTGTTTACGACGCGGGGATGTGGCATTTATATGATGCGCTAAAAAAAAAAACGACCGTTGCGCTGCGGGCGTTCGCCGTTACAAAGGGCGCACGACGTGAATAATATGCAACTTTTTTTGTCGTATCTTCCGATTCCAAGGTCATCTTTTGTAAATGACTTCACGCTCTTTTTATGCATCTGTGCTAGACCGCCATGCATATGCATGCACCATGCATATTCATGCGTGACGTAAACGATAACGAAATGACTGCGCTCATTACTTACTAACTCTGAGAATAGCTAAATTTCGTATACTCATAATAACGTAATAACTTGATACATAGGTGCAATCTTATTCTCATAACTTTGCAATCTTCTCTCGGTTTTCCTGCATTTAAATCACACGTTTCGTACGTTGTAACAAAAAGCCACGGACATACATATAAACTTCTATAATTAAGACAATGGATAATGTTATATCTGAGCACATATGCACTATCAAGGATGCCAAACGTAAAGTAAAATGATGAATAAGTGTGAATGATACACGTACAATTTGCTTGCAATTTTCTTTTCGCTCAACCGCGAAAACGTAGATCCCTCCGCAACCTGTCATTAAATGCCTATAAACGTTACGCGTTCGTTTTTATTTTCGTCATCAAAATTTTCTTTCGAATTTGCAATATCCTTTTGTGTTCGTATGACACGCAATTGCATAATCCATTGTAATTGCGGTCAATCGAAATATAAGCGAAATATAAGCACGACGTGTAGCTCATTATCGCACACAGCGTTGGAATGACGTTGTTGCATTCGGAATTGCGTTGATCAAATTGCGATTGTTTAAATGTCATGAGACGCCGGCAATTCGTGTCACGAGTTCACGATTCGTAACGCTTCCTGTGCGTCGCGCGAGTCTGCAATTGTAGATTTAGTGATCGAGCGATTGCGTATCATGTCTATATGGGAAAAGGAAAAAAAGGCAAAAAGGCTGTTGGCACATCGTCTTTGTGTCATCGCTCTTGAATAATATTACAATATCTTAAGCGCGTCGCGCACAAGCGACCATTACGAACGTTCAACCCCCGTTTATCGTGCCGGAAAATGGAATGTCAGTTTGAAAAAGCACTGTGGGGAATTGGTGAAGCAACGGTGAACGAGAAATCCGTAAATTCTATCAAAAATTCTCAATTCGATGCCAGTAAAAATATCACAGTCGGATTTAGATTTTGTATTGACCGAAATTTTAACTCGGCATAGATCGGAGAATTTTTATCTTTTCTCTTTACGATATTATATATTATTGAAACCTTTTCATTATTACAATTTTATATTCTAGCTTCCCACAAAGCGATAAAGTAAAAAAAATCATAAGTATAAAAAAAATGACCTCTGAATCATCTCATCTTACGCGACGAAATAGAAATAAAATAATATTACGACACGAATTTTCTCCGCTTACTTTCCAAGAATATATCGACATTGTCCGCTCCATCGTGCGATGCATTTCCGTAGCACGAATTCTCTCGATTTAGTATCACAAGAATCCAATTACATAAAGGAAAGCAGAGATGTGTCGCCGGCACGTGACGCAAAATCACATGTGACCAATTTGTCATGTAACATACATTCGTAACGTAATATACGAACTGCACGATATTGTGCCACCTCGCTATGATACCTTATCACCTATCGATTATAAAGGTTATGCAACGTTATACGTTATTCACGCCTGCAGATATTAAAAGTATCGATATCGATAATGCGCCGTGATAGAACGCGAATATCGAGAGAATAATCTCAATAGTATCGTTTTCTTTAATAATAAAAAGCTTTATATTACATTACGCATTTCCAGTAAACAAAGTATTAAAATTTTAAATATGATTTCTATTTGAATGATATTTAAAAAAGATATGCCACAAAGCAACAGTATTGAACAATTATAATCTCTTCTCTAATTTCACGTATTCAGTTTTATTAAAAAATTATATTTCTTATTATATTAATGATAAATGGACTTTTACTATAAACAAGAATAAAATAGATTGATCAGTATTTCCGTTCGTCGATTATTTTTGATATCCACAACTGAGGTTGTTGATCCAGAGTCGGCATCTTTAATTTCAAATCATGCACATGAGTCATATATTTGACAAATAATAGGTTTATAGCATAAAAATGAGCGGAATACCATCCGTCTCAATATTGTCCCAAACTTATCGATTCACGAATATTCAAAATCCCCCTCTCAAAATCACGAGACGCACGTGACTGGCGTACGTACATGCGTAGCAAATCCTCAATGGAAATATAAATCCAACGCTGATACCTTTACGTAGTATTTTGTAGACTTTACATGTAATTGAAATAAAACACGATATTTTGCTCTGAAAAATAATTTGATCAAATTTTTCCATTTTTCATTTATAAAAACGGCAAACTGTCATTCGATGGGCAGTTTAAATTTATTGTTTCTCGTGTTTTACTAATTTTTATAATGAATTTACGAAATGTATACCAAGAAAAGAAAGATTCTGTTTACAAAATGCCTCTCGGTCCGCCGGAAAAATCAGTCGAGTCGTTGCGGAGAGGATGTAGAAAACCTGCCGTAACACATCGGCGTGAATCTAAAAATATCCGCGCCCGTAAAAGCATCGTCACCGACCCAATCGCACCGACGAAAACAATACAAGATAAACGAGACGAGCGGCAAAATGAATCGATTGTTGGCGAACGATAGCAGATTGCGATTCGAAATATCCCTGGGAGAT